TCCCTTCCAGCGCCGCCGCCCGGCTTGCGGCTGTGGGCGGCGAGCGCGGCGGGCTGGCGGCGGCGCCGTCGCCGCCCAAGCAGGTGGTTGGCGTCTTCCCGCCGGGCCGGCCGAAGGCAGCCGCCCGGCCGCCCCTCCTCTTCCCATTGTCGTCGTCCTCCTCCTCCTTCTCGTTCTCTTCCTGCCTCTCGTCCTCTTCCTCCTCTCTCTCTTCTCCTCCTCCGCGTCCGCCTCCGCCTCCTCCTCCTCCTCCTCCTCCTTCTCCTCCTCCTCCTCCTCCTCCTCCTCCTCCTCCTCCTGCTCCTCCTCCCACTCGAACGACAGGCCTTCCTGCCCAGTTGGTCTCACTCATCCGTGCCCGTGCCTATTCTGTCTCTCGTTCCGCTGTCGTTTGGCCGGCAGCGTCCCGTGCCCGCCTTATTCTCGTTAAAATATCGTTGCATTTCCATATACGCCGCCTCCATTTCGCTAGCAGACAGAACACATTTTTTTATCGTCGCATCCATTTCTCTAGTTGGTAGCGGTGCTTGAGCTCCATCGCCACGGGCGCGATATTTCGCTTGGTCTCGATGGCACCTGCTCCCGCCTTCCGCCGCTCTACCCTATGCCGCTCTTCGTCAAGCTGTTCATCCAGTTGGATATCCGCTATTAGTCTCGCCTTCGCGCACCTCTCCCCGATCACCTTGGCAAGACACGTCAATCGAAGGTCCGTTGGGGCAGCACCAGCTCATCCGCCAGGACTAGTGACTGGGAAGGCGCACGTTGATCTCGACAAGTGCACCGACGAGACCAACAAGGACCCCGGCCGCGCCGCCGCCGACGACGACGAACCTCGTGGCGCGCCAGAGCTCTCAACGTTTCCTCCCGGGCTTGCACTGACTGTGTCAGTGCAGTTCGCGGACCCTACGTTGTCAATGTGCCCGCTTGTGGGTGCAGCCGCAGATGTCACACAGTTGCTCGACGCGGCTTTCACATCTACTGTGCCACCGAAGTGTCCTGAACTTCTTGGTGGTTGTGTCACGACAGCCATGGAGGAGCATGCAGAGAAGAGTGGGGAAGTAGTGGACGGTGTGGCGACTGCGTCGCCAACGTGTCGAGGACGCCGAGGCGGAACTGGCATGACCAGATCTCAGTCCCTTGGTACGGGATCTCTCAATTCGTCCACGCAGTCCCGTCCGTCCGGCAGGAGTGGGTCCCGACCCGCACCCCTCTAGACGATCTTGCAGCGGGTGGGGCTCACTGCAGTGACGACGCGACGTGCGAGGAGCGTGCCCCTGCCCGTGTCGCGGGGTCTTCTTATCACCGAGAGCGGTACAGCCACGCGACAGCAACATGCGCCCAATACGCAAGAGAAACATATCACAGCCGGGGCAACTGTCCACGGTGGCTCAGAGGCACACTTCCCGAGATCCGTCTTTGAGCCGTCTTGGCTCCAGAAAAACATGCGACAATATGTGGATGAACCCAAGACGTGTGGGGGCCCTTCCGGGAGATCACCCCAGCGGACATTTTTCGGCACACATTCCGAAGCGCCTTGGCCAGGCATGCCTCCGCTCTCAGGAATGGCGCTGTTTAGTCAAGAGGTCACGGGTGGAAAGGGTGCCCATTGCCCGTTGGTAGGTGATCCGGGCGGTGCCAACCTGCAACGGCAGGGGTCACCATGTTTTAGCCCTGACCCCCTCGCGTCGCGAACACAAACACCACGGACAGTTTCTCGGCCTCGGGATGCCCTGGGCCTCGGGACCGTGAAAAAAGGACTCAAGATGAAAAGTCGGTTTGGGGAGTGAGTGGGTCGAGACTTTCGTTTTGAGAAAATCATGACGTCGAGGGTTTGGGATCCGATCCCCATCCCCATCCCCATTGGGCCATGGTGTTTCGGCCCCACTGGCCCGCGCTCCCGTGTGGCACTGGGTCCCGCGATACCCAGAAGAAACAACGCATACGCATCCCCACCCAGGGTGGGGTAGGTCGTCCATTATGTCCACTGCTATAGTCGTGGGATGGGGATCGGTTGTGTAATGCTCAATGGGGGGAATGGCTCAGGTCGGACGACGGGGGGATGGGGAAGGGGGGTGGTTTTTGACATTTGCTGCGTGGAGCTGGCTTCGGCCCCGCATCCAGGCGACTTCCTCGATGCGCTGGCGCCTCAGGCGTGTGGGGGGGCGCCCAGCAAACCAGCTACATCAGCTGATTCGCTACCCTCTCTACGCTATCACCCTTCTCGATTGGCCCGAACCATGTATCAAACCAGCTTGACACACGTCTCCGCGCGGGTTGGTATACGTGGCGGCGTGTGCCGAATTGGTCTGGTACGCAGGTGGCGTCGTTCAAGTGCTGCAGCTGTGGTTGGGTGGGTTTTTCCCCAGGCTTTGTGCCAAGAAAACATCACGAGAAAGGATTTTGGGCATCTTCGGCCGCTGGGGGGTCTTCATCAGGCCCTGGGGTTGTAAAACGTCAGTTGGGAATGCATCGACCACGCTTCATAGTGACTCCTCGCCAGGGTGACTTCTTGTGCGTGGCTTTCGGGGGGTGCGGGGGGGCCAAAACCAAGCATCCAGGCTGCTATCATCGCACCGCATGATGCGCTGGTCTGCACTCCGCGCACACCGAAGGTCACCTCTTGCGTAGCCGAGCGAAGCGCTGGCCCAGGGGAGGGGGTCGAGGACCTTTGGCGTCCACGTTGCGACAAAATCACGTCGTCGGAAATTTGGGGAATTCGGGACCCGCTCCACACTGCGACCGAGGCCTGCCCCCCCCCTCCCTCCTTCCCTCTCTCCTTCCTCCGTTTTCTCCGAAGTCGAAGGTCGGAGAGAAGAAGTTGCCTGTACCTCTTCCGCCTCCTGCTGATCTGTTGATCGCCATGGGGGTCTTCTCCAGGATGTGGCCGTACCTGCGGATGCATTCCACCAATTCGTTGAACTGCTGGTCGGTGCTGGGAAGATGGCCGCGAAGGTGAATGAGCAACTCGTTCCACTCCTGCGGCGCGCACCCCAATGAGCTCAATAGCATTCATGAGTAGTCATGCGGCGCCATGTTGAAGTTGCTGGAGCCGCCGCACCCCTGATGGCCACCTCGAATCTGGTCCAGTGTCTCCGTGTCGTGCCGTGAGAAGGCTAAGAGGTCTCTGATACTCTTCAAGCTGTTCTCCTCGCCCAGTGGCGCGAACGACCTCGAGACAACTAGTAGAAACAGCTGGCGACCTGTGAGCTGACGAGCTTCGTGCCCATGGCTGCGTCTCGTAACTGATCGGCTGGAATCTCTCGTGCCAGAGCCCTGGCCGATCCGCTCAGCGTCAATGTTGCCACCGCCAGTCCTTGCTGCTCAGGTAGTCCCTCCCGCGCTTCCGCCGCCGCCGCCGCCCACACGGTCACGTCGGTGAGCCAGAACCGAGAGTGGCAGCGGCTGCCGTTCTCGGGAGTCCAGGCCGGTGGTACCTTCAGCAAGCCCGTCACTCGGGTCGGGCGAAAGGGGGGGATAGCAAAGGAGGGGTTTGAGAATCAGCTCACGTAGCTGATTTTCCCGGCGCCTCCCGGCGCCGGAGGCGGCTATGTATCCAGGAACGGGCACCTCGGCGAGGCCGAAACCAGCTGCATGCAGCAAATTTCGTAATCCCCCCTTTCCCAATCCCCCCCTTTCGCCTGGCCCGAGTCACCCCAGGCACCATGTCGTTGCCAAAAGGCCACCTTGCTGACCGCGCGGACGTCGCAGTCCTGGGCTCTGCTCGCTCTGCCTCGGTGCCAGCGAGCTTCGCCTCCCCGATCTTTTTTCGAAGATCTGCGCCGTTTGGCAGCGCTGCAGCTCGCCTGCCACGTGGTCCACGGTCTGGCAGGCCCCGCGCCGACGCAGAGGGCTCTCTTTCCCTCGCCGATTCGAGCCACGGGAGCGCCAATCTTCGCAGGCCTAGACGTTGACACCAACACCAAGATCGGCGGTGTGCCTCCACCGAGGGAAGACGATCCCGATCTCGGTGATGGTGGTAATATTTTGGTTTCCAAGGTGACCGAAATATTACCACCACCACCGAAATCTAGGATCATTTTTCCCATGTGGAGGCAATCCCCTGTGCTGGTGTTGGTGCCAATTTCCAGGCCTCCAAAATCTCAGCGCCGCGGGTCCTCGGGCCCGGGTCAGTGCCGCGCGCGCCAGGCCTTCGTGCCCTGCACGATGGAGCCAGCACGCCCGCCGGAGAGCAGCAGGGGCACCCCCCCGACGTCCGAGCCCCTGCGAACGGGGCGTTCCTGGGCGTGGTCTAGGGCCGGCTCCCCTTCTTCCCCTTCGGGCATGGGTTCATCATTGTTCCTTATCGATATACACCCCCTCCCCCAGGCGACCGGCGTCCAACCAGGAACCATGAGGAATTCATGACGTCCCGCCCCCCATCATCCTGTCAAAAAACAAAAAAACAATACAAACCGCACTCTGTCTCCACATTTGGAGCATGCGCGGCCAACCCGATGCGCCCCCCTCCCACTATCCATGGCCAAAAACAACGCAAAGTACACTTTGGGGCAAAATCTCGAGTCATATCCGTAAGGGCCGCGAACACTTTGTATTGCTTTTGACAGTGACGGCGGGGGTGCCAGCATATTCCCTGCCGTGCGCAGGGCTACTATCCTTGACGAAAATTAATACATACAACATGCACCTCGCAGCTAAATCAGCATAATGCACGGGCCTCCCGCGATCACTGTCAAATAGCTTTTGACAGGGACGGCGGGGGTGGTGGCGCGTGGCTTGCTGTGCACAGGCCCACCAGACACAATGATGAGCATTGGTTTTCGACAGTGATGGCGGGGGCCGACATGTTTTCCGATATGCGCTGTCACGTGCGCAGGCGCACCCGACGCAGTCTGCACGTGCCCCGAACATGGGGCACCTGGCGCGGCTGGAGTGTGCGGCACACCTGGCGCACTCGGAGCACGTGGCGCATCTGGCGCACCAGGCGTGCCTGGCATGCTCGGGCCCCAGGGGTGCCTGGCACGCGTGGCGCCCTTGGCACGCGTGGCGCACCTCGCCCAAACGTCGCGCACCTGGGGTCGGTTTTGGTTGCCAGTACATCCAAACACGACCGCTGAACATGCTCAGGCTCGGGTGTTACTCATGTGTTGGGAGGGCG